GGCCACTTGACTGATAACGACACTCACGAAGACGATCATCACCTGCCATCCGAGGAATTCAGCACACCCCGTCTAGAAGTTTGTCACAGCTACCACCGCCTCGCAGCCCATCGACGACCTAGTTGACAAGGTCGAGAGTGGCTATGCGGGTATGCCTACTACCCCAAAGCAGGGGCTCCCTTTCCCAACCTCCATACCGCAAGACTCCAGCGTTTCGCCGTTCAGAGCGTGCACCTGCGCGAGTGCTTCGCCGAGTTCCTCGGCACCTTCGTCATGATCGTCTTCGGTATGGGCGTCAACAACCAAGTGGCCAACTCGCAAGACGCCAACGGCACGTGGCTCAGCATCAATATGTGCTGGGGGATTGGTGTACTCATTGGCGTCTACTGCTCCGAGGGCATCAGTGGTGCTAACCTCAACACAGCCGTGACGTTGGCACATTGCGTGTACGGTCGTCTGCCATGGTGGAAAGCTCCCGGTTACATGATCTCACAGCTACTGGGCGCTTCTGTGGAGCTTTCATCATCTACGTCATGCAGTACCAGAACCTCAACGTCATTGACCCGAGCCGCGAGACCACACAGAGCAGCTTCTCGACGTATCCGAGCGACAACATCTCCAACTACACAGCCTTCTACACCGAGTTCATCGGTACTGCTATGCTTGTGCTCAGTATCTACGCCATCACGGACAAGCGCAACAGATCTGCCGGTCCCGTGGGTTTTCCCTTCGCCTTCTGTCTAATGATCATGGCGTTGGGCATGGCCTTTGGCATGAACACGGGCTACGCTGTAAACCCTGCACGTGACTTGGGCCCCCGCATCTTCACGGCCATCGCGGGCTGGGGCTCCAAGGTCTTTACCATTCGCAACTACTACTTCTTGATCCCTATCGTGGCCGACTCTATGGGCGGAGTGTGCGGTGCGGGGTTGTACCGCGTCTTAGTGGAGATGCACCACCCGCAGCCTCAGCCAGCGCTGGTGTAGGCGAGGTGAGGTACCGGTATCATTCGGTTCTACTCAATTAGAAAGAGCGGTAGTTGATTTTTTGTGGCATTTCTCGTGAAATTATTGACCAAAAGAATTTGAAAGGGTGACCAAAACAATCACAATTCGTTTTTAGAAAATTTGGAACTTTTTATAATTGTATTTTTTTCAATGGATATTTATTATGGTCAGATATCCCATTTACTCCAGCCTTCACGTTTCCCCGCTCTCGACGAACGCGTTGGGTAAACTCTTTCTACTCGATGTAGATTCTTTATAACAGTCCTTATCTCGCTGGGCTTTATAGTCTCGCTGACCCTCGATGAGAGAGTTTAAATGAGGTTATGAGCATCGATGCTGACACTTTGACCGAGTCCATCTTCCAATTACCGAGTAGCAAAGACACAGCACGCATCGTAGGGAAATTAGCAGGTTTGCTTCGTGATAAAGACACGCCGTTGTGAAGCATCGTTGGAAGCACCACCTTTTCGAGCCATGACTGCTTATTTATTAAACAAGCATACCGGTACAAAAGCCTTGAGCAAGACTTGTTCAAGGAAACAGTTGGCGGTGACCCGGGTCACCCACCACTCTCAGTACCAAATTTGGATTAATTATTTATATCGGGGGTTGCATCTGGGTGATTAACGTGGTTGAGGCGGTCGCATAAACGTCTGTCGCACCCACGCGACCACTAGTGTCCAAGTCCTTCATCCAAAAGTGGTCGCTGTAGTATTCGGACGTGTGTGAGCTGAAGTACAGCTTATGTGAGCTGAAGTACAGCTTATCGTGAGCTGAGGAGATACAGCTATTCCAGTGCCGTGAGATGCAGTACTGCCAGTGTCCAGTATAAGACACATCCAGATCAAGACAAACCTGCACATCACGGTACTGTTCTTGAGCGTGGAGCCACACGCGGCATTGCAGAACCAAATACCGCGTACGGACTATCACACACACTGCTGTAGACTTGACTACAGTATGCAGTGGTGAGCTGATGGCTGTGAGCAAGCTTCGCTTGCTCACATTAGACTTTGATTGATTATCGGTATATTAAGTTACGTGCTACCTAATATACTGACTGCGGCGGGTGGTGTCTGGCATGAAGTCTCTGTCACACACTTACTTTGGAACTTGACGCCTGCGGCTCAAGTGGAGAGACTTCACTGCGCCGGATCATCACCTGTCGTGGCGTTCTGCCTCGGCACTCACGTGTTTATACTAAGTGGCTTATTAGGGGTACACATATCCTACTGTACTGTAGCTATCTACCATGACTGCTACACGCAACCAAGGACCTCGTGCTACCCCACCGATGACGCATGACGCGTCGTCACTGGTTATGAGCCCAATAAGAGAGCAGAACGAGTCGAAAGAAGACGATGATTCGCCAGAAGGCTTGCAGTATGAAGACAAAACCCCCCTTCAAGCCATTCAGCCGCCTGCAGGTCACTCAAACGAGTCGATCTTGCTAGCAGAAGAATTTGGACGCCGATTGGCTGCAATGCCACACGGAGTCGAACTCCTCACCCTATTGGTGGAAGATTCTCACCGTCGGTTGGTAAACCGAGTGAAAAACCAGAACTCAAGAGACCGAGAGCTGGACAGACGTCTTCGCGAAGAAGAAGCCTCCCCTCGTTCCCCTCAAGATCCGCCGGTGCGCAGCGAACCAAGTGAGCCGAGTGAACCCAGTGAACAAGGAGGAGGTGGACCCCGAGACGACACGCGCAGTCGAGCATCATCACACGGGACCAGCATGCTGGACAACCAGTTTGGCGCCAGTTATGATGATGTGGAACTCGGTCTCCACACTGAGAAGATGCTAGGCAAGGAGGTGCCCCTGCCCAAGCTGTCTGATAATAAAAAGGACTATGACAAGTGGAAGAGTGAGGTAACATTGCGGTTCCCCACTTACAAGCTGAACGCGATCACGTATGGTGAGGAGCGCTACAACTCTGTAGCAGGACTCAACAGCCAGAAGTATCATACTTGGTATGACACGCGTCGATCCATGGCATTCACGACCATGGCGCTGTCATTGGACATGAACCTGCGAGAAATGTTCAAGGTGGACGAGCTCAGGGACCAGATGGAAGCTCCATCATTGCTCTGGAACCGCATTACGGCGCACTTCACCAGAGGCGACCTGATTACATCCTGTGAGATGTACTAAAAAATGAGCTGAAGCCGGGAAAACCCGTGGATGCCTACGTGACCAAGAGCGAGGAATTGGTGCGACAGCTGCGACAAGCCAATGGTCAGCTGGAGGAGTGGGAGCATGCAAGCTTACTGATCTCCAACTCGCAGCGTGTGTTTCGTGAGCTGGCGGAACAGCACACGGTCTGGTGCAGCAAAAATGACCGACGTTTGCTGACACGTGCTGAAGCTACGCGCCGCTTACGACAAGCTGAACAAGCTCGAATGCAAGTTGACAACCTGCAGTCAACAGTGGCAGCGCTACGTACTGCTCAAGTAAGCTACGTAACGCAAGGGCGCAAAATGGGTAAGAAGAAACGGAGTGCAGGCAAGGACGATGAGCTGATGAAGAAGAAGGCCCGTACTAAGTGTAGCAATTGCAACATGGTTGGACATTGGTATGCCGAGTGCACTACCATTACCGGCCAGCAGTTGAAGCCAGAATTGGCTGAGAAGTTGAAGACCAAGGGCAAGCGTTCTGCGACCTCTTTCGTTGGTCATGTTGGTATTGATCACCAAGACCGCATGGTCCGACGTATCGGTCCAGCTACTACTACGGCTGAATCTCCTGTTTATTCCCCTACGTCACCAGCCAGTCCTGAACTTGCTGGACCTGGTGTCGTTTCGAGTGTTGTACCTACTGCATCTCAGCAACTGCATCTGCGAGGTGATCAAGACTATCGTCGTGCCCAAGACGACAGTAGGCAACAACAGCGTACGTCTGTGACGTACCCGGTTCGTCACTACCAAGATTACGATCGACGTGAGCCGATGCCTATGTCGCGTATGAACTCACCTCATGTTAAGGAGAGTCATTACGGACCACCACGCGGTGGTAATTTTGATCAAGGATTCAGTGACGACTACCAGAGACGTGATGACCGTGCGTGGTCACCGCGTCGCACTGACAATCGTGGAGGATCACCACGTCGCTTCAATGGTCGAGAACGTTCCCCATCGTTGGGCCCATACAATGGCCATGATCAAGGTTATCGTGGAGATAACCACCGACCAATGCCGCCACGTTACCAAGGCTATGGACACCAGCGTTTGTCACCACCACGAGAGACAGGTCGCCATGGCGCAGTGAGCGTCGTGACCCCTCGCCTCCACGCTACAGCGAACGGCGTGGTTTTGACGGTGCTCGTCGGGACGAGTCTCGTATGGTGAATGCAGTCCGCCGGAATATAGGTATGCAAACGACTGAGAGCTTTGTTGAGCGGATACTTGACTCTGGCTCCCAGGCAAATGTATGCAACGATTTGTCATTGTTCACTACTTTGACAGATCATACTGCTAGTCGACTTGACTTTGCTAACTGGTCGTCATTATCGATTATGTTTGCGGTTCTCTATTGCTTCACGTATGCAATCAGGTCACTGGTAAGCTGCCGCTGGATGAAGTGATCTACATACCAATTGCGAAGGTCAACATCATCAGTCTCGGATACATGCAGATGGTTGGAGGGTTCAAGCTTAACTGCTCGGACGACTAACGAACTGCGTGGCTAGCTAAAACGATATGCGGGATCACATCTATCGTCTACGTGTTGCACACGTTGCTGGAGTCATGGTGAATCCGGTGCAAAGGAAGAAAGCCAGTTGCGAGAACGTGATGGAATTGCTACATCAACGTTTCGGTCACTTGAGCATGGACACGGTGAAAACGATGTCGAACAAGCTGAATGTTGGAGTTAAGGTTAATGGAAAAGATCTGAGCTCTTACGACTGTGTTGCGTGCAATTCACGTAAGGCTAAGAGGATGCATCATGCGCGGCGACCGGTGCGGAAGCTGCAGCCACTATCTATGCTGGTGATGGACATATGCTCAATGACTGAACCTACTGCGAGTGAAGCAACGATGTTTCTCTTTGTGATCGATGAAGCAGCTAGATTTAAGTGGGTGTATTTGCTTGAAAGGAAGAGTGAAACTACTGCTTTTATCATGAAGTTATTGTCAGTTCAAAGACTATCGTGTGCGGCGATTGCATGCTGACCAAGGTGGTGAATTTGCCAGTAATGAATTGCGAGATTTCTGTGAACAACGTGGAGTCATTCAGCAGTTCACGAACGCATATGCGCCCAAGAAAATGGTATTGCAGAGCGTGCAAAAGGTGCTGTGTTGCCACGCATCAGGGCTATGTTAACGTCTACGCGCCTACCCAACTTGCTGTGGGGTGAGGCATTGCTGCATGTGGTGCGCACGCTGAACGTGTTGCCTACTACACCACTTGGATTTGTGTCGCCACACTCCAAGCTGTATGGAGAGGTACCAGACCTCAGTGTCTTGCGGACATGGGGTGTCTTGCGTGGGTTCGCATTCCACCGGAGTCTCGACAAAGGAAGGAAAAGCTGAGTTCACGTGCAAGACTGAGTTTATTGGTGGATTACAGCGGCTCAACTAAAGGCTACAAGTTCATGGATTTGTCTACTTGCCAGGTGATCACTGCGCAGGGAGGTAATGTTCGCTTCCAGGAAGCATTCACTGCGGATGGAGACTATGTGAAACACTTGCTGGAGAACGTGTACCAAGGATGTGACCATGAACTACCATCGACAGTGCCTGTTGATCGGATTAAGACTACAATGGAGACTTATACTACGCCTATTGCTACTGGACTAGTACCAACAAACTTGGATGTGCTTGAAGCCGATGCTGTTCCAGTGGGAGTTGTGTGTGCGCCTGGTGGGCCTTCGACTGCAGTTGCAAGTGCAGCCAAGGCCAGTGGGAGAATTGTGACCTCCAGTGGGAGTGCAAGCTCACACACCAGACAAGTGATGTTAGTGACAAGTCTCCTAGTACGAAGCAACCAGCTCCTACTACTTCACCTACGAAGAAGAGTGGCAAGATACGCAAGCGAAGTGCGCGTAAGCGTACTCAGGTTTCAGAGAAATTAACGAGTGGATTTGCGATCTGCTCTCCTCGTGTGGAGCCGTGTCTGAAGCGGCCAAGGCGACAACAGAAACGGAATGTACGACTGCTTGACTATGTCGCTGGCCATGTACAGACTGTGCATGAAGACATCCAGATCCCTACGACATAAAAGCAGGCACGTGCAAGTACACACTGGCCTCAATGGAAGGCAGCTATGCTGTCTGAACTACAATCACTAAAAGGGCACAGAACGTGGAGACTAGTTCCGCGTGCTGTTGTCAAGAAAGTGAAGGTCATTACGTGCAGATGGCTATTCGCTGTGAAAAGAAATGAACGTGAACGAGTAACGAGATTAAAGGCTCGGCTTGTGATTCATGGCTTTAAGCAGCAGCATGGAGTGAACTACAGCGAGACGTTTGCTCCTGTCATCAGATTTGAGACGATTCGAGCAGCCATCTACTATGCAGTATGATGTGAAGACTGCCTTCCTCTATGAAGATTTAACTGAGACTATCTTCATGGAACAGCCGCCCGGCTTTCAGACAAACGGCCCTGATTTTGAGTGCTGACTTTTGAAGAGTCTGTACGGGCTGAAGCAAGCACCTCACATCTGGAACAAGACTTTACATGCGAAGCTTGTGGTGATGGGGTTTGTGCGTCTGGACTCAGACTTTGGATTGTATGCACTGAAGACTGATGACGAAGTTAGGATGCTCTTAACAGTGTATGTTGACGACTTACTGCTGATGGGAACTCCCGAGCTTTGCGCGGCAACTGCTGCCAAATTGAAAGAGTCATTTGAGCTGACAACAATGGGAAATGTGAAGTACCTGCTCGGTGTGGAGATCCTGATAGATCGCTTGCAGCGACAAATCATCTATTCGCAGCAGCAGTACGCTCGAGATGTGTTAAAAGCTTATCACATGTCAACATGCAATGGGTGTGTGACCCGTGAAGATACATCACCATCCAAGGTTGTGCTACCTGAAACCAAGGAGAAGCTGCCCTACCGTGAAATGGTGGGTTCGTTGCAATACCTTGTGAGTGCGTCCAGGCCAGATATCGCACATGCTACTCGCCACCTTGGCAAGTTCCTGGCCTGCGTCGATCACACACACTATGCTCAAGCTAAGCGGGTGCTGCGCTACCTGCAAGCAACGAAGGGCTACGGCCTAGTGATGGACGTGTCCAGCGGAACATCGGTTGAACTGATGACTTACTCCGATGCTGATTATGCGAATGATCCTGCGGATCGTAGAAGCGTTAGCGGCTACGTGACGATGCTCGACGGTAATGTGATATCGTACGCCTCAAGGAAGCAAGAGATCAATGCGACCAGTACATGCGAGGCAGAGTATGTGGCCATGTCCGAAGCTGCGAAGGACATCCTGTGGCTCCAGGGCTTATGCAAAGAGTTGGTCTGGCAGCATCCAGTACCCCTCATGCGAGGAGACAATGAGGGTGCCATCTCATTGAGTGCTAAACCCGGCAAGCATTTCAAGACCAAGCACATTGACAACAAGTATCACATGGTGAGGCGTAATGTGGAGTTGAAGCAGTTAACGGTGAAACATTGTGGAACAGATGACATGGTTGCCGACATTATGACGAAGGCGTTGGGAGCTGTTAAGCTTGCTCATTTTCAGAAGTTGATGAAAGTGTTGCCTGTCGTTACTGCTGACAACAACATTGCTGATGCTACTGCGGCAGAAGCTGCGCCTACTACGACTACAACTGCGTTGAAGTCTGATCATGTTGAAGATGCTGTTGAACTGTGAAAGTGCGTGTGTTGTGTGAGGCCAAACAAGTTAGGGTTGTTTGCATGGTTGCACCACGACATGTACTGCTATGGTGGGATGCTGTGCGAGTGGGAGTGCGGTTGCTACTGCGGGCACAAGCTGCTCTTCAACTTTACGTGGATGAACGCAACGACTTCCAGAAGATCGTTGAGCTCAAGTGGGAGTGTGAGCTGAAGTACAGCTTATGTGAGCTGAAGTACAGCTTATCGTGAGCTGAGGAGATACAGCTATTCCAGTGCCGTGAGATGCAGTACTGCCAGTGTCCAGTATAAGACACATCCAGATCAAGACAAACCTGCACATCACGGTACTGTTCCTGAGCGTGGAGCCACACGCGGCATTGCAGAACCAAATACCGCGTACGGACTATCACACACACTGCTGTAGACTTGACTACAGTATGCAGTGGTGAACTGATGGCTGTGAGCAAGCTTCGCTTGCTCACATTAGACTTTGATTGATTATCGGTATATTAAGTTACGTGCTACCTAATATACTGACTGCGGCGGGTGGTGTCTGGCATATAGTCTCTGCCACACACTTACTTTGGAGCTTGACGCCTGCGGCTCAAGTGGAGAGACTTCACTGCGCCGGATCATCACCTGTCGTGGCGTTCTGCCTTGGCACTCACGTGTTTATACTAAGTGTCTTATTAGGGGTACACATATCCTACTGTACTGTAGCTATCTACTATGACTGCTACACGCAACCAAGGACCTCGTGCTACCCCACCGATGACGCATGACGCGTCTTCACTACGTGTTGTCGAACTCACGTTGAGAACGGGCTGTTCGTAGCTGTCTTGCTGCTACTCAATCGCGTTGCAGTCGTTTGGCTAGCCTTTGCAGTGTGTGTGGTGGCCGAGAGCTGGACCCGGTACTGTCTGGCTTGAGCCACCTGTACCGCCAATACGGCGGTCTACATTTTGGTGAGGGTCGCTCATTGAGCAAAGGTGAGCGCTCTCGATATTGTGCCGTTTGTGTTGAACACATCGTTCTACACTTCAGCCTGGACCGACTTGAGTCTAATACAAGCACGCAAATAATACATATGCATTACGACAGTATTTTTAATGTTGGCCAACTGTTTCTAGTTCGTAAATGACACAGTTGCACTATTTAATGCAGACCAGTAATAAAACTCTAATTGACACTTAAAACTCTAATTGACACAAAGTGTCAATTAGAGTTTTTTTACTGGTCTGCAGTAAATAGTGCAACTGTGTCATTTACGAACTACCGGTAGTGAAATTTACAATTTTTTTTACCTATTTTTCAGCTAGATATTTTTTTCCTAGACTTTCTGACTCCCCCTTTAAAGTAATGGCGCCTGGGGGTGGTGAATTTCCACTAGAAGACGATAGAGACCGGCGCCGGCGACACCACCGAGAAGGTCCGCTGCAATGGGGATCCAAAAGTAGTAATGGTGCGACGTAAACACCTTCGAGCCCCAGCCGGCGCATAGCTTGAAGAGACGAGAGCCAAAGTCTCGCGCAGGATTTACAGCGTAACCCGTGTTCATACCAAACGCCATTCCCAGAGCCATGATCATGAGAGCGAAGGCGAAGGCGTTGCCGTATTTGCCAGCAGGACGGTTCTTCTGATCCGTAATGGCGTAGATACTAAGCACTAACATGGCTGTGCCAATAAACTCAGTATAGAAAGCGGTGTAGTTAGAAATACCCTCAGCCGGGTATGTGGAGAAGCTGCTCTGTGTAGTCTCGCGGTTGGGTCAATCTTGTTCAAACTCTGCCACTGCATGACCCAGATCGTGAATGCGCCACAGAAGGCACCAAAAACCTGCGAAATCATGTAGACTGGGGCTTTCCACCACGGTAAGCGGCCGTAAACACAGTGAGCCAATGTCACAGCCGTGTTGAGGTTCGCACCGCTGATACCTTCCGAGCAGTAGACGCCGATCATCACACCGATACCCCAGCAAATGTTGATACTGAGCCACGTGCCGTTGGCTTCTTGTGAGTTGGTCACTTGGCTGTTGACGCCCATACCAAAGACGATAATGACGAAGGTGCCGAGGAACTCGGCGAAGCACTCGCGCAGGTGCACGCTTTGCACGGAAAACCGGTACATACCGGTGCGCTTGTTGGTCATGGTCGATGCTTTAGGGGTGCTAGGCACATTGGCGTAGCCGTTCTCGGCTTTATCAACGTCTGAGGTGTCCAGCGTATGCGATGGAACCGCCTCTTCTGTCGCGTACAGGGTCATGCAGGAGCCGAGCGTATGCTTGCGTACTTTAGAGCATAAATGAGAATGAGTCTGGGTAGCAACAGGCAAAACTCGTCGCACTAGATAATTGCTAATTCTTTCAATCTCTGCGTCTCTCGCAGGGATCGGTGCATAGGTTGGTAGCGTCCAAGCAAGCAACATACACTGTGTGATACCTGGACAATGTGTCCCGTACCCGGGAACGGAGGGGTCATTCCAGGAGCTCTGCCTCCCGTCGGGATGACCCGAGACCCTGGAATCACTCCTCGCCCCGCCGTCCCGTCAGGGTGGTTCCCGTTGAACTCAACCTCGCACGTACCCTTGACCGAGCCCGTTAGGGTGGTACTATAAGGGGACCCCTGAACGCCGGAGTCTTGGCGTCGGGGACCAAAAGCACCTCGCGACATCAAGCCCTTTCCCAGAGGCTCTCCGTTGTCCCACGAAGGCCGACAACAAACGAAGTGAATCCTTCCTTTTTTATGTAGTGTAGTGTATGTAAGGTCGAGAAGGTGTTAGGCCTCTCTTCCGGTTAACTCTCAGTCTTATATTTCCCTCCTTCTACTCAAGAGGAAGCCAAGCCAATCAACAAACTTTTATTTTTCAACTCTCTAGTGTTCCTATCTACCGTTCCTGCAGCCACTGAACAAGACCGTACTCCCTGAACAGCCGCGGACTACCCGACCCTTGAAGGAAGGGGAGGTATACGACATCTGGTGGAGAAGCAGGGTAGTCTGCTAGCTGGAGAAGGTCTTGCTCCAAGTGAAGTCTCGCGGAGAACGTCAGAAGAAAGGACAAGATGTCGGCTACTAACAACAGAGAAGATGAGAGCTCCACTGTCCGGGAAGAAGAAGGCCCGACCGAGAGTCTGCCTTCGAGAATGCGACCCAGTCTGTCGACTACGCAAGGCCTCCAAAACGTGCAGAATATCATAGACCAAGCGGCTAACCGACTTGGGGGGAGCAACTCTAGTACTGGTGTCGAGCCACCCGCGGACGCTTTGGGCTCCGGGGTCCCTGCGACCTTCACTTCGGAAGAGTTGGACTCGATGCTGACCCTGAACGGCGGAGGCGGCCGAGGTACGGTGCATGGCTGGCTTAACTCCCTCAACTGGTTGAGATCCATGGCCCCTCCTGAAATTGCCGCCGCTATGGAGAGAACTGGTGGAAACGGTCTTGTGGGGACTCCCCCTCCTACGACTCGAGTAAGGACTGCAATCCCGTCGTACCAAGGTTTCACAATCCGAACCCCAAATACGTCATATGGACAGGACTTTAACCCGTTCTTCTCCCTACCAACTGTCCCTGAAAACGGTGGACGTGCTTCCCCGGCAAGGATTCCTCCGAGGACCTCTAAGGCTCCTCCTTGGGGTCTTCAGCCCTCCGGTAACTTGCGAGGAGGCGGGGAGAGCGCTCCAGCGGTAACCGTCCCCGTTCCTCAGAGGGTTCCTTTCCAGGTCTCGTCGCCTACCGTTCAAATTCCTACCCAAGGCCTGGGGTCTCGAACTTCGATTACCAGTGGAGTCGCGTACGGAGTCGACCCTACGAGAACAACCCGAGCTTCATAAGGAAACGGAGGAACTACGGCTTCTGCCGGAACCCACCAGGGTCCTGCGTATGAGGAATATGGAGGTAACTCCTACTACTCCTCGCCTACGTATGGTAATACGCCTTCGACTACTAGTGGCCAGTATGGTATGCCCACTAACATCCGAAACGCAATTCGCATGCTCCAACCCTTTTACTCGGAAGGAGCGTCGGTGGAGAAAGCTAGATCCTTCTGGGAGGCCTTCGAGAACGCCGCGATAGGGCTGGACGAACCCCTGCGTCTCAGCGCTTTCAGGGAGTGCTTGAAAGGCAAGGTTGGCGAAGATTGGTGGATGTACTCGCGCATCAACAGCTTTGAGGCTCTGAGAACTCGGTTCCATAACCAGTTCATCAGTCAGACCCCTTTGCAACTGATTGAGAATCTGAAGAACACTAAAAGACCCCGGGGAATGTCCGCCGAAGTGTGGGGCGACATGATTTCAAGTCTCTGCGATGATGCTCAGTGCTACGACACTCAGATGCGTTACCAGTACTTCTTGTCTGGACTCCGAAACCGAGATTGGAGGAACGCCCTCACCACGACAATGATTGACTCCATCCCTGCGGCTGTGGCCATGCTGCTCCTTAAGAATATGCACCGTCCGGTTGAAGACGACTCCGAGTTCGACAATGTGCCGTCCCCTAAAACTTCCCAAGAGAACGCTGTCCTCGAACGCATGATGAACATGATGCAGCAGACGCAGAATCTACTCGCTCAGCAGCAACAACTTCAACAGCAACAGCAGTTGAGGGAGCGTCCTCTGACGACCGCCTATGCTTCCCCAGCGATGAATGTAGCTGCTGCCTACTCTCCTCCTGATCCGAACCCCTCTCTGCACTATCAGCCTATCGGAACGCTTCCTATTACGCCTATCAGGGGTGTTCGTGTGGGTCCGGACTTGCGAACCCAAGATGGTCTTCTCGTGTGCGGTCGGTGTCACACTCTGGGGTGTAGTCGTATTCACTGTCGCCGCGACAAAGCCACCTGTCCTCACTGTAAGGAAGTGGGCCACATCGGTCCTGAATGTGAGCGTGACCCTCCTAGCGGATTCCGGAACACCCAGCCGAGGAACGGACGCAAGTGCTTCCTGTGTGATGAATCGGGTCACATGTTGGCGGAGTGCCCTCTAAAGACGTCACTGAAGAGACTTGGCGGTCCGACAAGGGCAACGGTGGAACCTGTCCTAGGGCAAGCGCCCAGCCAGCAATGATGGGGGCGAGAGGGAGGGGAAGGGAGTGTCGCTCCTTCCTCTTGTCTATGGATCGACACAAATGGGAACACTTTGAACTCCGCGGAGGAGTCGACCAAGAGGTATGAAGTGTGTCCTGTTGGAGGTGGGATGAGTTCCGCCTTACCGGAAAGAAATGAAACGAACGTAAGCAATGAACATATGACGAGAACTGAAGAAATACTGCCGTTTGAGCATGAAGGACGTACGGCGCCCGTGTGGAACGGGGTATCGGTAGTCTCAAACCCCAACGACTGTTGGAAGACGGAGAGAGAAGCGTTTGTAAAAGAGGTAGGCTCGGGACCCGTATGGGACGGTCCCGCAATAGCTGCGCACGTCGACGAACGCTCCAATACGAACCTAAGAGTGGTTACGAGAGATGACCAAGAGAGCGAGATCGAAACAACGAACGAAAAACTAAGCAAGGAAGGAGAGACGGAAAAGCCGCAACTTCAGGCGTCCTCGACGGAACGAGACTACCTGTCGACGTCAACGAACCACAAGAGTGTGGTTTCGAGCGTGCTCGATCAAGACGAGGATAAAGGTGAGTCCAATAACGGCCCTATACAGGAGGAGTTAACCCCAGACGTGACGGAGGTACTCGAAAGCCCAACCCGAGAACAATATGGAGCTACCAAAGCTAGTGTTCCAGTACCAAAGGCGGACCCACGCGGGCAGGAGAAAGACGTGACCCCTCCTGAGAGAGACGACGCCTCCGAAAAGGACTCTGAGGACGTCGCCAGTACTAAGTCCCCAAAGAATGAACCGGAGAAGGAGCCTTCCTTCGCGAGGGTGTTCACCAAAGAGGAACTAGATACGTTGGAAGAAGGTAAGCCTTCCGAGCTGGCTGAAGAGAAAGAAGAATATGACAAAGAGCTCGAAGACCGACTGTTTCCTCTCGATGAAGTCGAACTGAAGCGCCGGTTAGTTGAGAATGCGGAACAATCGAAGGAATTGTCTCTTGCCGAGTTGAGTGACTTACTAGGCATTCCCGAAGAACAACTAGCGAGGACCCGAGATTCTTCCCCCGGTCGACTATCTACTCCTGAGTACTGGTTGGAATGGTTCCAAAAGACACTAGCCTCGTCCGGAGAAGCGAAGCGAGCCAACCGTAATTTCCAAGAGGAAAAGCCAGTACGGATCAACTCTGTGACGTCGGACGACTCCGATTACCGCGACGAAGGGGGAGGGACCGCGACGAAGAGGTTCTCGTGGCAGGACGCGCCGAAGACGGTAGTGCACTTCCCGGAGCTGAGAGTTCCTCCTCTACCAGGAGAAGAGTGTCCCGCGGACCCCTCTGTAGTGGAAGACAATATCGCGCTAGCCCTGGGGAGTTCCCCCAAAAGGCCCTCCGAACTCGGTGAAACCGAGTACGAGTTGCTGGACTCTCGCGGTATCGTGCCGGACCCTTGGCGAGCCATAGTGCGACGAGCCGTATACTTCCTCGTAAAGGCTGAAGCTTCAAGTAGAGGTGACTGGTGTGAAGGGTGTGTTGGCGAAGGATCGCTAGATGAAGAAAAGAAAGATGACTCCCCGCCCCCCACTAGGCTCCAAGATCTCCTAAGCCGGATCGAGGACTGGATCAATAGCCTCGCTGTTCCCACTGACTCACGATCGAAAGAGTTACTGACTAAGAGAATTGCGGACCTTTACGAGGAAGAGGCTGACGAACTCCGCTTGAAGATCCTCGAGAGGAGTTCACCCTGCCGACTCTGTCGTTGGAAAGATCCTGCTCCTAGAGGTTCTCCTGCGCCGAAGATAGTCAGTTTCGACTGCTCCTCTCTATTCGGTAACCGTACCGAAGCCCTCGGACCGAACTGTTCTCCCCGAGATAAGGAAAACGGGTTGTACGGCTATGTGAACGTCGTCACTGACGCTCCTGACCCTCGCCCCAAGCCAGGTTTGGTAGAAGTACCGAGCGCCACTGATAACTGGTCCGCTGACGTGGAAGAAGAAATCGTCCCCCTCGGCAAGCGAGTGATCGGATCGGTAGGGGGCGTGGAAGCTCTATCGTGGGGATTTATCGAGAACCTCCCGGCCGAACTTCTCATCGACTCCGGGGCCGTAGCGTGCCTAGTGCATAGGCGGGTATTGAAGCGTCTCGGCTTAACTAACTCGCCTCTAATGCCCTACGTTGGCAGTCTGAACGGTGTGTCCGGGTCTGCGCTTGATATAGAAGGAGTAATCT